AGTACAATGAAAGTGAGCACAAGCGTCTTTTGTGTGCACATTGGCAGTTTACACTGTGAAAATAATGTGAATGGGAGAGATTCAATATCTCATTGAAAAACCACAAAGATGCACAAAATATGCACTGCCCACTTGAGATACCAAAGTATTACTCACAATAGATTGTGATGACATATGTTCTTTGGGGGAAAGGACTGTCATGTGGGTGTCTTCCGTGCAGCATTAACCTGAGTTAGCCTTGCTCAGGTGTGAGCCATCTACAAGGGAAAGGGGGGATATGGCAGAAAGCCAGTGCACACTGCCCCACCACCTATGAGGGCAGAGAGACAGATAACTCAGTACCACCTCTCCCACCACCTACAGAGGAAAGGAAGAACATAGGGTTGCCAACTTTATAAACCAAACAGCCTTGCTTCACCTCTTCCCAGAGGCCCTACCCCTACTCATCCTTCCCCTCTTCTTCCATTCCTCACTCTCTCCAATGTTCACTTACACTGGGCTGGGGCAGGGGGTTGAGGTACAGGAGTGGATGATGGCTCTGTCAGGGGGTGAGGGCTCTGGGATGAGGCTGGAGAGGAGAAATTTGGGGTGTAGGAGGGGGTGCAGGGTGGGGACTCAGGGAGCTGGAATGCAGGTTCTGAAGGAAGTTAGGCTACATTAGGAGGGACAGAGAGTTAGGGTGTGGGACAGATTTCGGGGCATAGACTTTAGCTGGGTGGTGCTTACCTATGGCAGTTCCCGATCAGCAGTGCAGTAAGGCTAAAATAGGCTCCCTGCCTGCCTTGGCTTCATACGGCTCTCAGAGGTAGCTGCCATGTCTGGCTCCTAGCACAGGGGCAGCTTTGCTCCGTGAGTGCTGCCAGTTATCCTCAGCTGACTGCATCTCTCAACTTTGGTGAGAGGGATTGGTGTGTGGACACAAGGGAGGCTAGGAGCAGCTCCTGACAGAAACCCCGGGCTAAAGTCTTCAGTGGAATAATATGCTCCTTGGGATACACTTTCCCAAGCTGGTTAGAACTTCATAGTATGATTTACTTTACTACCTGCTTGCTGGGGCAGTGAAGTAGTCAACACTTAATGCACCATCACAGGCACCTGAGTCAGCACTTCTTGTGGTGAATGGGGCAGCGCACACCTGGCAGTGCTATGGCTGCAGGCTCTCTACAGACATGGCTTTACTTTTGTCTCAGCTCTTGGGAGAGATGCTGGTGTGCATGACTGTCAAGGAGAGCCCCACCTCATTCCCTGCTCCATATAGCAACATCCTCCAGCTACAAAGGACCCAGTTGAAGTTACTTTCCAGAGAATAGCAGAGGAAGTCTCCTTTGGAAGAGAGGCTCAGTACAGAGTCTGTATGAGAGTGTCCCCTTGAAGCATGAAAGGGAGCCAAGATAGGGTCCGTGTGAGGACTCAGTCTCCCTCCACATGCACTTCCTATCAGAAACTGTTTACTCTCCCCAATAAGCTACAGGCTGAGGGAAGGGCGGGGCAATGTCTGGCCCCTATAGCTGCTGGAAAGGCTGTGATTGGCAGAGGCGTGGCCCTATATAAAGACAGGCAGGAGCCAGGAGTCAGCTTACTTGTGGAGCAGAGTATTGGTTGATTCACATGTGCAGTGTTTGCAGCAGAGGCTATGAAGGAAATGTGTGGGTGAGGATTGACTGGACAGCTGGGGGGGGTGAGGGAAATGACACTTTACTGTAGTGGCAGTGAAGTTTGAGGGATGACCCTGCTGCCTTCCCTGGCTATGTAAGGTGCTCTTGGATGTGGCTGGGTTTTTCCCTGGCTTTTGGGGGGGGGGGGGTGGTCCCCAGACCTGTCTGTTCTGTCTGGCCCTATTGTCTGGGATGTTAGAGGCAGGACTTTTGGAGGGATGAAATTAGACCCCCCTCCCCACCCCCACCCCGAGGTGTTCTGCTGTGGCAAACCATGTGGCCAAGCCTGGGTCTTCCTTAAAGTCCAGTTATCTTCTCTTTCTCCCTATCCCCTAATCATGCTGCTTTACACCCCCTTTTTCCTTCCCCTTTCCTGGGAGAGAGGACCTCATGGGGCCAATTTTCCTATGAGATTTTTCACAGCCTGGATGATGCAGCTAGGTCAAGCTACATTTTAAGCCAGGACGAGGCCTGATCTGCTTCTTTCTTATGTGCTTTGATGGGCAGTGAAATTGTTAACACTTAAGGCACCACCAGCATTGGCATATAAATCAGCGTTCAGTGAGATCAGCGGCTCTCAAACTGTGAGTTGGGACCCCACAGTGCATTTGTGACTCTATTTTAATGGTGTCCCCAAGGCTGGCATTAGACTTGGTGGGATCTGGGGCTGAAGCTAAGGCATGAGCCTCAACACCCAGCATTAAAGCCTAAGGGCTCCAGCCCTGGGGGGCAGAGCTCAGATTACAGCCCCCCTACCTGGAGCTGGAGGAAAGCATTAGCTGGGGCTCTCCTGGGGTCCTGTAGCAATCTTCATTGTTCGAAGGGGCTCTCAGTGCAGTGACGTTTGAAAACTACAGAGTGGGATGAATGGGGCAGCACACACCTGTCAGTGCTATGGCTGCGGACTCTTACAAGCATGGCTCGGCTCTGGGCAGAGGTGCCCCTGTGTGCACAAACCAAGGAGAGCCCCAGCTAATGCTTTCCTCCAGAAAGAAGCATCCTCGGCTTACAAAGGGCGGTCACCAATTTGAAATTACAGGCTGACTCTCCCTTGTCCAGCATGCTTGGGACCAGAGTGGTCCCAAACAAGGGAACTTGCCTGACTAGGGGAGGTCAGGTGTCTGGGCTCTCTTGGGGCTCCCCTCCTGGAAGCTGCCCCGGAAGAACCCAGAGACCTGACCACCGCCAGCCAGCCTTCCTGGCGCTGCTGCCCCCAGCCCAATGGCGGTGGTGATGGCTGCTCCCAAGGCTACCCGGCCGAACATGGGCAGTGACAGCAGCGGTTCTGCCTGGGGCTTCCAAGGCTTTTGGAAGCTGCTGGGTGGTAGCTGCTCGCGGGGCTTTCTACTCTCAGGTCACTGCTGCTGACCAAGCCAGTGCTGCTCACAGCTGCTCTTAACCTCTGTGGCTGGGGTCCCTGGTATAGCAACGTCTGTTGTGCTGCCCAACCAGAGAGTCCCAGATGGCAGGTTCAACCTGTAATCTCCAGTGAGTGAGGGTGGGGGCCTAGGGCAGAGATCTGAGGCGCTCTTCCCTCTGCCCATGTGTGAGGGGTGGCATTGACTTGGGGCAGGATTCGTCTGTATGAGGGAGTCTCCCCCTCAGTGAGTGAGGGAATCCTTTCTCTTCTCTCCCCCTCCAGTGAATGAGGGAATTTCAGGGCAGCATCGGTGTGAGGAAGTCTTGCTTTCCCCTGCCAATGAGTGAGGCAGGCCAGGGGAAGGGTTTGTGTAAGGAGGTGCCCAATATAGGGTCTGTGTGAGGGAGGCTTCCCCCAAAATGAGCTTTCCTCGGTAAAACCCATCTCTTCTGATGACGTGGGTTTTACCCAGGAAAGCTCATGATGCTATATATTTGTGCTAGTCTCTAAGGTGCCGCAGGACTCCCTGATGTGCCATTGGAACTTGGGGTGGGGGTCACCTGGTGAAGGGACTTCCTGAAATACAGCCTCCTCCAAAATGAATTGCATGTACATTTCATAATGCTTTAAAATTGATGTGCAAAAGGAAATGGGTTTAAAAATTGGGGTGGAGATTGGGCTGCAAATTGTCACTTAGGGAAGTATATTGAGCTTCATTAAGTTTTAACTTTTTTTTTTTAACTTCTAAAATGTGCTGAAATCCACATGCATAGTTAAATGGTCATCAATGTTATCCTGCAACAAGGGCAGGGATATACTTTTGGTGAAAAATTGGAATAATCTATCCAAAGAGGCCCTAAGATACAAGGCTCTGATAAAGAACTCCTCTTACTAATTTTTTTAAAAAGCAACAGTGGTGGGCTAGGATATGTTTGATGTGGATAATGCTCATTGTGGAGGTGCAAAATGATTCATCCATCTCAGTCCTCCTCTGCTGCAGAAAGTTATGCAGCACCTCTTCTCCTACACTACCCCGTAAGTGAAGCAGGAAGTCTGGAGCTCCCTGTGTTCCTCTCACTGCTAGTAAACATGCTCCTCACAGCCTATTTCTTGCCATTTTCCTCTTCCCAGGGTCCCTCCCTCCCCCCAGTGGGGTCTTCCTAGAAAGACCCTTCATTCCTGCCCCCAATAACTTTGATGTTATGTCCCCAAACTACCACCTCTTTTCCTGGGAAAATGTTTTTAAGGCTAATTTTGCTTAACTTTAAGTGACAATGGTTTATTGTATCTAATACATAACGAAAAGTAAAGCAGTACTGAAATGTTTGCTGCAGTAAATCTTCATCTTGCTCAGTTTGCAGCTAGCAGGAAATGAATTGAAAATAACTATAATTTGAAAAAGATGATGGAAACAGAACAAAAGTAAAACTTTAAAAATAGCCACTTTTATCTTTACTGGCCGGGTAACCAGCTTAATCCATATGACTCTGTATGTAAGTGGCTAAAATTAAGGTCTTGAGTATGGCAGCAGTACGCTTCTGTTCTTCCTAAATCTATACTGGCTACTGAAATATGCTTTCATTATCACTGCAGTGTCATTAATTTGAACTCTAGCATTTGGATTAGTTTGTGGATAATTACTTTCTCTTCAGTAAGGATTCAGTCTGGCTTCTGAGTTTCTCACCTGCTTTTCATCATGGGTGAGAGAGCAGAGGTTGTCTTTGAAAGTGGTGTAACCAATGTTCCCTCTAATATTTTTTTCCCTTCCATTGGTGAATAAATTTTTATGTGCACTGAGGCATGTGAGTGTGCACCAACCATAGAAACAAAGCCTAGCTGTGGGCATTCTGCTAATCGACTAGGAAGCATTTGAATCTCTCCTGAGTGGCCACAGCTTACAGGGAACACTGGTTATAACCAATGCCAGACATGGTATACTAACTGCTGTCATTGGTTACATTTACTATTCCTGTTTCCTTCAACAGAACTTCTATGTTGGAAAATCGGCCTCAGAAGCACTATGGAATAACATCTCCAATTAGTTTGACTCCTCCTAAGGAAATAGATTATATTCACACTCAGAAATTAATTGAAGCCATGAAGCCATTTGGAGTATTTGAAGAAGAAGAAGAACTAAATCACAGGTGTAACTCTTAATATAATTGAAACGTATTGCTTGAATCTATTTTAAAACTAGATCTAATGATGATTCTCATTACAGGTTGAGTGTTCTTGGTAAATTGAATAAATTAGTCAAAGAATGGATTTCAGAACTCAGTGAAAGTAAGGTAAACATTTTTAAAATTCCAATTTAAGCAATGATTGAAGAGAAAAAATACCTTATTTCTAATATTCTACTTACTTTATTGCCTTCATAGTTAGAATTCTAAATCACTCATTCTGGATTGTGTCCTTTGACTTTCTGCCAAGGAGTAATACATTTTCCATTTCTATATTGGGAAATAGACTTGTAGCAATTGTCACTCAATTAAGGTTTGGAAGATTTTTAGCTACCTAGATTTAGGCCTTTTTCTAGCAATAAGTGAATTTGTAAATTGGTCATAGCTAAATCATCTGTGTTCAACAATACAAATTAGAATCAGATGCTTTCTCTAACGAGTGTAGAGCCTGGGAAAATGAGCTTTTTATTTTTTCTAACTTCCATGATCTAATCAATATTTTAAAGACTTTATTTTTATTTGTACAGTCGAGGGGTAGAGTGGGGGTAGAGCAGTTCTCACAGCAGGACTGCAGGGGACTTCCTATGAGGCCAAAGATGTTGGGGTACAAGATGTGGAAGAGGGTGCACCCTCTGGTTTGAGAGGGGGTGAACAGGGCTGTGACAGCAGGGTGTCCTAGGACTCCCTGGAAGGCTGAGGCCCTGCTAGGTCAGATGAGAAACCTGGCCACTGAAGAGAAGTTATTCCTAGCCATGGAGCAGGCCACCCCGCTGCTAAATGGCTCTTGCCCAGGGATAGCAGCTCCTCCACCTCCTCCCAGTTCTGGTCAAGGGGCTCTGCTCAGCCAGGCCAGGACGGCAGCCTTTCTCCATCTTCTTCCAGTGGCGATCGGAGGTCACTGGCTCCACTCACTCCTCAGACAGCGGCAAGGAAGCCCGCTCCTTTAAATAACAGGGTGTTCATCTCCCTTCTGCGCTCCTTACCAAGGGTTTCTGATCTGGCCTGCCAAAAGCACAACCAGCTTTCCTCCCTCCCTTCCTTCCTCACCCCTTGTGCTTGCAAGGATCAGGTGCCACTAGTCCTGAGGCAGTGCAGAGAGCCTTCTGCAGCATTATTGTCACACGCTCCAGTAACAGCAAGGCTGCAGAGGGCTTGCAGGACCAGTGACCCCTGATCCCGGCAAGCAGGCCCACTGTAGGATTGATAGTTTTTTGTCCATTTCAGCATTCGCTTTGACATTGACCTTTACTAATTAAAATCAGCAAGGAGTCCTGTGGTACCTTAAAGACTGGGAATGTTGCATTACTATGCAGAGGACAGGGCTAACGAGACCAATTCAATCAGGGTGGATGTGGCCCACTCCCAACAGTTGGAGAAGGTGAGAATACTAAAAGGGGGGAAACGCCCATCTTTGCATGTGGACATATCCCTGCCAAACTGAAGTCTCCACTTCATGCATCTGATGGAAGTGAGTTCCAGCTTCCCACTGCAGGGCTGAAGTACAAAATCTACTAGGCCGGGCCCCCTAGGCTCTGGTATGGAAAGGGAATGTGGGGAGCATCTTTCTCCTTCTCAGTCGGCGACCACATCAGTGAGGGCTTTTTGATCATTTTTGGCTTTTTGCTTCACACTAGTGTGCGGCTCCCATCTGATTTTTTTTTTCCTGTGGTTCAGTGGTCTCCCAACCCAAAAAAGGTTCCCCCTCCCCAGCTTATGCTCACATAAATTTGTTAGTCTTTAGGATGCTACGGGACTCTGTGTTTGTGTTCAGTGAAAAAACAAGAACAAGGCTAAGTAAAATATAATCCTGCCAAGCCTCCCTATGGAGCAAAGTGTGACCATCTAACCTGAGCCAAAGTTTTAAAAGTACCACAGACTGGAGGTAAATTTAATTACTTTTGGCTCACTGGTTATGATCCAGTTTGTATCTTATACTTATTACCTGTACTTTCAAACTCACATAAATGGACGTATATTATCAACGCTGCAGATGCTAATGAATTATTCCATTGTATTTTTGTAAATCTGTCAGGAAATGACTACCGTCATGATTTCGTATTGCTGTTACATCAGTTGGCTAGACAAAATTAAGTTCTTACTCCAGTGACAACCCTTTCTATCTGAACAATCCATGTGTTGCCCTTCATTAAGGAAGGCTAAGCTAATGTCCCCACATGTAGTGACTTATTTTTTTGTTGCTGTTTAGAAATTCCTGTGACCTTATTCTCAAAATATTTCACACCTACTAACTGCACTTTATTTGCTGAAATGTTACTAAGTGCCAAAACAAGCTAACTTTAATGAGCTTGCTCATAGTGCTAGCTGTAGGGTTTTAGACCTTGGGAAGCAAGAGCTGTATTTTAAACTTCTATTTCTACTCTATTTATAGAACCTCCCACCTTCAGTTGTAGCAAATGTTGGTGGAAAAATATTCACATTTGGCTCCTATAGGCTTGGAGTACACACCAAAGGTATGTCCTTTTTAATAGTGTCTAGTCAAACACTGTTTCAAACTAACTGCTTGATTAACTGAAGACATATGGAATATTTTTGCAGGTGCTGACATAGATGCTCTTTGTGTTGCTCCTAGACATGTGGAAAGATCAGATTTCTTTCAGTCCTTCTTTGAAAAGCTAAAGGCTCAAGATGGAATCAGGACTTTAAGAGTAAGTTTTCTACTTGTATTCAGAGTAACAAACTTGTTCATGTTCAAGGGACATGTCAACTGGAACTCTTAAACTAACCAATTTGAAAAAGTTGCAGTTGCTGATGGCACTCTTCAAATAGTATTGTACACACAGTTCTGTTAAAACACTAAGGTTGTAAAGTCAAGTATTCTTAAGAAATAACAATCAAAATTGCCTGTGACACTTTAATCACTCCCTTTGTGCATGTGTATTAGAAGATTGGTTAATTAGATAATCACATAGTATGAGTTTTTTTTCAGTTGTATGTGTTTGCTGAAGCTCAAATAATGAGCAGCCATTCGTTATTTTCTCATGTTGAAAATATGACCCCATGTCTCTTGCTGCATGATATTAAAACCTTGCTCTGGTTATAGACTTAGCTTCCCCATGGTGCTTATCACTATAATACCCAAGTTTCACAAATATTATTCTTTACAAAACTTCTGAGGTGAGGGAAGTTGTATTATCCTGGTTTTATGGATGGCGATCCGAGAGATTCAGGTTAAGTTTCCACTAATTTTGTGTGCCCCGTTTGAAAGATCCTGGTCCCTGAAAAAGCATGTCCAAGGTGTTTAGCATTCTACTGCATTTGACATGTTCAAATCACAGTTCCCATTGACTTCACTTGCAGTTGAATGCTGAACACTTCTGCAAAATCAGGCCCAGGGGCTGAAGTTGGGCATCCAGATGAAGTAACACACTCAAGTTTTGGATCAAGTGACTTGCCTGGATTACATAGGAACTGTGCAACAGAGGGCTAGAATCCAATGATCCATGTGCAAAATACATTTTATGTGCATCACCAGTAGAAACACATGCTGCAGACTGTAGGTTCTCAGCTAATCTGCTGGTCACCGTTTGAATCTCTCCTGGATGGCTGCCCAAGGGAACATTATCTCCATGCCTCATTCGCTACATGTTTTCCAGCTTCTGCAACATAAGGCAGAGGTCCTATAGGAACGGATTCTCTTCTAATGTACATCCCTGCTTTATCCTCCAAGCATGTCCATCTTGTGCTGTGAGTGAGCCAAGGAAAAAAAAACTACTTAAAACAGTATTCTAAGGACTCGACAAATCAGTGTATGTACCCGCCTGTGGCGAGTAGATTTTCAGCTGGTCATCCCCGTTCACCGGTGGTGCGCACATGTGCAGTGCGGTGCTGGCGAGTAGATTTTGCTATGGTTTGTCAAGCCCTTTATAGGCACACGAGGGCTATGTTAAGGTTGGGCAAGCAACCTTAATTTTGGCAGTCCCTACATTTTGAGTACTTGATTTTAAGGGATCATTGAAACCTTAATGTCATTTTTTGTAACTTTTTATTTAAACTCACGTTGCTCTATACTGATGCCCACAGGGAACATCAGCAGGACTGGTGCCTTTAAATCTACCACAGACTTTTGCCTCTTGAACTAATTGTAACTGTTACAGTAAACTAAAGCATGGGAAGAGGAGAGAGAGGTGCCAGTCTTTCACACTATTCCCTGCAACATATAATATAGCCTAAAAGAGCTCAGCTGTGTGAACTGCTTCATTAAATTCAAGTGGGGATTCTTCCCCTCCCTCACACATTCGATAGGCATGAAGCCTGTTGGTTCTCAGCTCATCCCATTCTCGGCAGTGTTCTTGGTGCATGTTCAGTGTGCTTATTCTCAGCTCCCCATCCAGAGGTATGTGGCTTTCTTGGATGACAGCATGGGGGAGGGAGTAGGAGAGGCTGGAGATGTGGTAAGCCTACTTTTCACCTTCGGTCTGAAACGAGGGGCAAAGTCGGACACAAGGGCAAGAGGAGAGATTTAGACCCTCACATGAGGCCAGTGTCTCCTAAATCCTGGCGCACATATGGGAAAGACTATGGAACTGACAAGCACCCTGCTCCTATCCTTCCTGTAGATATCCTTAGAGCCGTACCTTGCCACTTCCCTTACACCTGCTCCTCACCCTTGAATCCCAACCCTTCTCCCCTATATCCCATATCTTCCTCCCCTCCCAGAAAGCATTTCCATGTGCAATATTATTTTCTTTTCAAAGACTGAGTGGCTCTTGAATCTTCTAATACAGTCAGAACACATTTTCCTAAAATAAGTCCTTTGACAGATGCATATTTTTAGCAACATGTTTACACTTTTGTGCTCATTTATTTTTTGGTTAACAGCCAGATGAGAAGTTACTGTGCTGGCTGTTGCTCAGGTCTTGTGTTTGCTTTCTGCACATATTCAGAGGTGAATAGTTTGTATCTGAGCATTAGGCATGTGCCTCTCTAGAGAGCTAACTTTCCTGGGAAATATTATGCCCTTTGCTCTCCCAAAGGGCCAGTAGGTGCCTTGCACTAGATGGAGTAAGTCTCAAGTAACTGAAGCCATTTTGCTCGTAAGAGCTGTGGCTTAATTCCCCCAGGTCTGTGCAAGAAAGTTGGCTGACTCTATCAAACTTAAGACAGTGTGCATATTGGTTTTTTTTGGGGGGGGGGGGGTGGGGGTGGAGCAGTGACAAGCTGCATCTCTAGGGTCATTTTATAACAAATCAATGAATGAAAAAAGAATAAAACTTTTAAGAAAACAAACTGGAGGGTTTCTGGAACAAGTTGCTGCACTCCACCAATGTGATGTTCCTAACTTTGCCTCCAGGGCACATCTCCAAATTCCTATGTTACTAATATGAAGGAGCATCTCTAAATGATATTCTTCTACAAAATATCTCTGCAGTCTCAACATGGCTTTGGTACGACATGACTTCCCTTTGTTAATCTATTAGAATTCTTTGAGGGTGTCAACATGAATGAAGGTAATCCAGTGGATGTGCTTGGCATTTCAGAAAGCCTTTTAACAAGGTCCCTCACCAAGAACTCTTAACCAAACTAAGCCTTCATGAGAGAAGGAAGGGTCTATTTAAGGCTTTGTAACTGATTAAAAGAGAAGAAACAAATAATTGAACAAACCATTCATTTTTATAACGGAGACATGAACATAAATAGTGGGAAGAAAAGTGAATAAGGAAGCGTTGTTTACCCCATCACATAGCCCAGGACTCACCTGATAAGAAGCAGCAGACTTAAAACAAACACAAGGAAGTGCTGCTTTACAGAATACTCAATGAACTTGTGGAACTCGTTGCCATAGGAAGTTGTGAAGGCTAAAGATAGAACACGGTTTTAAAAAAAATATATAAGTGCATGGAATATATCGATGACTATTATACAAGATGGTCAGAATGCAAACCCATACTCTGGGTGTCCTAAACCTCCAACTGGAGGTTTAGGACACCCAGAACTGGATGACAAGATAGATCACTTTGTCTAGTTCTGTTCATTTCTTTTTGATTGCTTGATATAGTCAAAAGACTGGATACTGGGCTAAATGGACCACTGCCATAGTATGGCCATTTTTATGCTCTCATGTCACATAAATCTCAAGGCAATCCAAGTAATCATGCAAACTTTAGAGCACCAAAAGAGTTGAGTCAAAGCTGTTCTCAACTTTAACAACTGCTGCCAAATGCAATCTTACTGGTTACAATGGACAAATATAATAAAATAGTGTACTTTCCACTTTTCCAAGAGAAATAGGGGAGGGAGGGTGGCGTGTGTGTGTGTGTCTCTCTCTCTCAAATACTGTAAAATACTTTTTCTGGCCTCAAACCCAGGGGGTAACAGGAGGTCAGGAGATGGAATAGAAGACTTGCTTTTAAAAAATTAAAGACTGCTAGGTTTTTCCCTTCCTGCTTTACAGGCAATAGAAGATGCATATGTACCGGTTATCAAGTTTGAATTTGATGGTATTGAGGTAAGAATTAAAGTTTAGTGACTAGTTAAAATGCAGATTTGGTTTTGTTTTTTCCTCTGGAATTTGAATAATATAACACTAGTTCTGGTCTCACTGGCACAAGGGTGTACAGCCCTGTAGCCATAGGTGTGCGCAGCACATTTCATTAGGGTGTGCACCCAGGGAACTTTATTTTTTTTATTGGTGAACATTTATTGAATACTCAATCATAAAGGACATGCTGCAGGTGAATGCAAGCTTTCTATACATTTCTATATTCGGTGCTTATTGCATAATACAACAATCCATACTTTAAAACTAAGAGCATATCATGGGATTAAATTAAAACACAAAGCCACTTTTTTTTTTGAGACATTAGGATGTGCCTCGGCACACCCCCTGCACATGCCTATGCTTGCAGCCCAGATTATGGGAGAAGGGGGAGGATTGCAGCATGCACCAAAGCTCTGCACTGTAACTGCCACATGTGGACACAGCTAGCATGAACGAAAAGGAACCTAGCTTGGGTTCTGACTGTTACTGTGAGTAGGTGCCTCTTAGGTCATTCCAGCAGCATCCACACGGGGGAGTTGTAGCGCAGCACTTTGATCCATGCTACATTTCAGTCAAGCCTCTCTGGGATGTCTAACACAGCAAATAAAAACCTAAAGCTGGCCTAAGTCAGCAGATTCTTGCTGCAAGGCTGTTGTGCTGCTGTGTAGGCTTCTGAGCTTGGGCCCAAGCACAGGCCAGTTGCAAATATGTAAGTGTGTGGAAACAGACATAGCTGAAGGGCTTTTATCTATTGCCACAAATGTAGTTTGTGGCAAGGTGGGGGGTGAATTCAACCCACACTCGTTTGCTTCCGTCATCTTGCTTGAGTGCACCCTGTTGGTGAGCATAAACAGTCTTGTTTCAAAGAGAACTAGATCAAGGTGTGTTAACAGACTGTTAATGTATGTCAGTAAAGTACTTGAACAGTTAGTCTAGTGTAAGCTAGATCACACGCCAGCTTTCCACAAACTAAATGGTCATGTAGACAGATCCTTAAACGACTACAAAGTTAGTTGGGTTCACAAGTGGGCCATGCCTTTCTCCAGATTGTGTTATGCTGAACTTCTATCTTAAAGCATGCCTACAATCTTAAATTGTATGTCTACACTAGAAAGGTAAATTGAGCTATATTGGGTATCTTATGCTAGCTGTTCTGCATGCAGGGATTAGGCCCATGTGTACCCTAACTATGCTCCATATGATGGGTCACAATGAGTGGGCTGGCATAGAGTTACTAATGTGATTCTAAATCACTCAAGGATTCCCAGATGTAGGGAGAATGTGATGTTTTGGTGACTCAAAGAAGCTCTAACAGACTGAAGAATCAGGTCCTGAATCTTTCCCACAAAATATGAACTATAAGTCTGACTACTGTACAGGCAGTCCCCGACTTACGAACGGGGCTTTCTCGCCCCGGAGCTCACAGGCAGCGGTCAGCCACCTCGAGCTCCGGGGCGAGAAAAGCTGCTCCCGGTGCCCCTGGTCTGCTGGGGACCGTCTCCAGCAAACGAGGGGCACCGGGAGCAAAGCGGTCTGGCCAGAGCAAAGCCTCAGAGGCGAGGCATCCCCCGCTGCCGCTTTGCTCCCTATGTCCCTGGTCTGCTGGAGGGGGTGCAGCTAGTGTGCCCCCCCAGCAGACCAGGCTTTTGTTGTGGACCCTGGGGCAGAGCAGCTGGGGCGCTGCCGGTTGGTCCTGCAGCGCCGCTCTGGGCACTACTGGACCAACCCGGCAGCACCCCAACTGCTCTGCC